CATCCATCCATCCATCCATCCATCCATCCATCCATCCATCCATCCATCCATCCATCTCACTTCTAAAGAGAAACAGACAAGGAGATCCTGGAGGGAAATATTATGGGGTGGGGACAGCCCTGCTCAAAGTTCCCATCACTAAAGAATTCCCTCCCTGCAATTACATTTTTTTTCCCCTTGAAGGTTGGGTTGGACACACTTGGGTTAAATCGTAGCCACCGGGCATCTGGACAAGATCGTGCCCATGGACCTGCAGTAAAAACTTCCCCAACCATGAGGACTAGCAACTTGGGCGTGGGAGTTCCCGCAGAGCAGCTCCACATCGAAGTCCTGCTTGGTGCTTGAGATGACTCTCGGGAGGGTTCCCCTGACGTATTAGGGGGCTCGGCAGGTCTTACCCTTGTTGAGCGGGTGGTGTTCCTGGAGGCTGTGGGTGTCGAGGAAGACGCCGCTGTCTCCGTGAAGCTTCTCCCCTTCCGGGGACGAGCCCACCTCCCCCATCCGGGCTTTGGCGAGCTGGTGTTTCTGCTTGCAAGTGGTCCAGCTGCACCGGAGAGGGGGGACGTTATTTGGGGGCCCTCCCCATGACCCCCTCCCCACTTCCCTCTTCGAGCGAGCGAGCGAGCGAGCCCTGGCTTGCCTCCCCTCCCTCCAAACCGTGGCCCAGCTCAGGCAGGCCGTGGCAGCTGGGCGGACCATTAAGGAATTGCAGCTCGGCTCTTAGGAGCTGAGCAAGCGAGACCCTCTCCCGCTGGCGTCTCTGCGCAGATGGCCGCGGTGTGGGAGAGAAGAGGAATGCTGCGGCGGGCAGAGGACAGCTGAGTTGGACGAAGGGCAGGGGGCATGGGGGGTACGGGACGCTGTGCAGGGAGGGTGGAGAGGGCGAGTGAGCTGGAAAGCGGTTATCTTGGGGGGGAGGTCGGGGGGGGGAATAAACGGGAAACCGAGAGAAAAGCAAGTTGCTTTCCCTCCTGGCAAACTTCGAGATCATTTTCCTAAAGAGGTGAAATGAATTACGCTGCACTGGGCCAAAATTAGAGTTCGGCAGAACCCAGCATAAGACGGTGCCTTATTCTTCGCCCCTTATCCGCCTGTCTGCATTTCTCCATCCCTGCTTCAACAACCCCCCCCAATGCATTTGCACAAACTGTCAAGCTTGGATGGACTGGGCGGGGTGTTTACGGTCCCAATCCAGCCTGTTTGGCTACCGTTGAGGGTTTGGGGGCTTGCGCAAAGCTCAGAATGGGATTAAGGCACCCGTCCGGATACATTCTGGGCAAAACCTGGACCCTCCCGGTGCTGACGCGACCTTGGTCGATGACGAATCTCACTCCCGGGCAAGACGGCGAAATGCCCAGCAAGGAAACTTGCTGCCTACTTTTGGGGGGGGGGGTGTTTAGTATCGGCCACCGAGCAAAAGAGGTGAGAGGCAACTCCACCCAGGAAGCCGCTGGCATCGATGGAAAAGAAACCGAGGGGGCCCTTTTCATTAGCGCCATCCCATCTTTCCGCCAACGGCAGAAGCAGCTGCGTCTTTAGAAGAGCCACCTTGGCTGCCCACACACAGGAGGGGCCTTGGGGACGCCCGTCCTGCAAAGGGGCACAGGGCAGCTCCCCAAATCCAGACGTTGGCAGAGGCGGCCACGCCGTTGCGGCTGGGCACCCCGGGGGTCAAAGCAAGCGGGGAGATGGACGGGAGCAGAAGCTGCTTATCTCTGGCCCTTCCGGCAGAGCCTAGCTAGGCTGGGATCCGGACCCCAGACGGAGAGGCGGGGGGTGAAGGGGGGGTCCCCCGGCGAGCTTTTCAAATAGGGGGGGGGGTGGGTAGCCCGGATGAGGACCCCCGAATGGGACATAGCCACCCTTCCCCAAATTCCCCGCAGGCGGAAATCTACAAAGACCAGGCAAAAGGTGATAGCCTCTTTGCTTTCCTGATGTGCTACTTTTCTCCCTGCAGGGAACGGGAGGCTAGGCCCAAGCTCTTTAATTCAACCGGGCTGGGGGATTCTGGGAGTTGAAGTCCACACAGGGATCATAGCTCCTGTTCACCATGAGAAAGAAATTCACAATCTAATTATTA